CTCCACCATCACGCCCGGTGGGCAGGCCGCCTACTTCCACCTGTTCGCCTGCCCACCGTTCCGCCCCCTCCCGCCAGCGTCGGCCGTCGCTGCGCCGCGCGGGGCACCGTGCCCGGAGGGGCCTGCGACTGGTGGAGGGGCCGGAGCCGCCGCCGCCAGGCGGCCAGCGCCAGCAGCGCGGCCCGTGCCGCGCACGCTGGCCGGCTGCGCCGCGCCGCTGCGGGTGCCGGGGCGCGGTGTGGTTGCCGCATCGCTGGGCCTGCAGGGAGCAGGGCGGCCAGGGAGCCTGCTCATAAGGGCGGGCAGGGAGCCTGCTCAAGGCTGGTGTGGCCGATGCACTATGGCTTGCCATGCACGCAGGCACCCGCGCCACCTCAGGTCAGGCTGAGCCTTGCACCCACCCGTCGCCAGACCGTACGCGAGCTGTGCGGTCGCCAGGCTGGCTGGCGCCTGGGCCTCGCGGCGCAGCGCCACTGGCACCGGCTGCTAGAGCAGGCGGGGCAGCGGGCGCTGCCGCCTGCTGCTGCATGGAGCCACCGGCGCGGCGGCTGCTGGAAGCAGCCGAGGCCGGTGGGGCAGGTGATGGTGCCAGGCTGTCAGAGCCAGCCGCGCGGCCGCTGGGGATTCGGGCCTCGCTGGCAGGCGGCGCCGCGTAGCTGCGGGTGCGGACACGCGGGGCCGACGGCCCTTCAGTGGTGGGCCTGCAGGGAGAGTGCACCGCTTGTTCAGTGAGCTTGGTCTGGGGAGACCACACCATGCCTGCCATGCCAACAAGGCTGCACCCCAGGCAGCAGCCAAGCAGGCGCCTCCCTGTCCACATGGATGGCTCACCCGCTGTGGAATTGCACACGCTGCTTCTCAGCGTCGTCACCGCCGCGGCGGCCGGTGGTCGCTGCGGCGGCGGGCTGTGCCTGCACAACGCGCAGCGGCTGTGGGCCAGCGGCAGAGGCGGCAGCCAGGCTGCCGTCCTGCAGCGCGGCTGCTGCGGTGCTGGGCCCTGGCTCTACAGCCTCCTGCTCCTGCACTGTGGGCCTCGCCCTGCCATCGATGTCCGCCACCTGCAGGCAAACACACCGCGGGGTGTTCCTCCCCTCACAGTTGAGTGCTGTCTGCGGGTTCCTCGGCTGCCGCCACCAGCGCGGCTGCAACGCTTGTTCCCGCGGCATGTGCGGCACCGGATCTCAACAGCGGGTGCCCCCGTGCCACACGCCACCCACCAGCTGGCGCGCCAGCTCCAGGGAGGCGTTGGTGATGGCCTTGCTGTGGAGGTCCTCGTCCCACAGGGGGTCCAGGACAAGCCTGCGCAGCGGGTGCAGCAGGGAGGCAGGGGAGAGGATGAAGGGCCTTGCATGCAGCGCGTGCGTGGCCTGCCAACCGGCTGCCGAACCTGGCGCGCTGGCATCGCTGTGTGCCAGGTGGTGGGAGCTGTGAGGCTTACCCGCCCTCCGCCAGGTCATGCGTCAGCTCTAGCTGTACCCCCAGCGCCTCCACTTTGGCGGCGAGGGCCTCCATGTACTCCCTGCTGCCACGGGCCCCAGCTGCCACCTGCTCCCTCAGCTCGGGCAGCAGCTTGTCCATCACCTGCACGCGGCGGCAGGGGCGGTGCAGCCGTGAGGAGAGCAGGCGCAACATTCCACAGCGGCAGGCAGGGGCACGCCTGTGCTCCCACGCTCGCTTGCCTCCCGTCAGCGCCGGCATCGAGCTGTGCGCACCTCCCTCAGTTCCGCCGACTTGCGCTGGGTGTGCGTGCCCAGCTTGTTGGTCCACCCGGCCACGATGTCGACGCACTTGGCCAGCTCGTCACAAACGCGCCGGTTCTCCCTGTTCTCCAGCTCCAGCTTCTGCAGTTCAGCGGCCAGGAGCAGCAGCGCAAGGGCCACAGCCGGCGGCGGCGGAGGCCAGCAGCTGGGTGCGCAGCTGCCACACCTGGCAGTGCGCTGTCCTGCCCGGGATGCTAACCAGGGTTGGCAGCTCCTGGCACGCAGGCGCGCGTGGCTGCTCACTTGCGGAGCGCCTGCAGAACACACAACACACCTGCGTGAAGGAGAAGAGGCCCTTGATGTCCTGGCTGCTGGCACCAGCAGTGCTGCGCCGCGCGGCCCAGGCAGCAGCCAGGCAGGCATCCCTGCACCCCCCGTGCGGTTTGCCGGCGGGTGAGCCTGGCACGGGGGAGGCACCTGCCTGCCCGCCAGCCTGCTTGCCTGCCTGCCTGCCTGCCTGCCTGGGTGCAGGCGTGATGCCTTGGTCACACCAGCCAAGACGAGGTGCCCTGCCCGCCCTCCGCCTGCAGGCCAAGCGCAGCGGCTGCTGCCACCCCGCTGCCCGGCGCTAGCAGCGGCGCAGGTCAGCCTGCCGGTGCGCGCAGCGCCACCGCGGGCCGCTCGGCTGGAGATGGTCGCCGCCAGGCCAGTGGCCAGTCGGCGGCTCCAGCGGCAGAGGCTGTCCCGCCTCCGGGGCCAGACTCGTCTGGGCAGGGCACGCGCCCCGCTACTCCGCGCGGTGCGGCCTCGGGCGCGGCTGGCAGCAGCAGGCCGGGTGTCGGCGGTCAGCCGCTCAAGTGGCACTAGGCTGGCCCAGCTGGTGATAGCGTGGAGGCGGCAGGGCGGGTTGGGCTGCTCGTGTGTCGCAACAGACTGCGTGCATGAACTGAAGTGTTCTTTGTGCACTGAAGCGAGGTGTAAGCCAGTGCCTTGGTGGAAACCCAGTGCAGCTGCTCGCAGCGCAATGAAGGCAACATGGAATGCTGGACCGGGGGCGGAGCAGCAGGGAGCGGCACGGCGTCGGCGCGGCGGGCGGCGAGGCGCGGCAAGGCTGTGTGACTGCAAGCCGTTGCAGCTTGCACCCCCTGCCTGCTGGTCTCCCCGCATTCTTGGATCGAACGCCAGGGCACTCTGGGCCCATGCAGCGCCCTGTCAGCTCAGGGCCACTTTTGAAAACACCTCAACGTGCACTCTTCACCTTTTGCTCCATCCCTTGCTCCCTGGTCTATCCAGTGGAACCTCCAATCGCACAGACCGTGAGCCAGCGACCCGCCGAGGCACCTCGCTCCCCCCTTCTCGGCACCCCCTGCCCACCCCGCTGCCCTTCCTGCGACTGCCAAGCGTCAGCTCTCACTGCCACTGCCAGGCAGCCGCACAGCTGGAGCCTCTGTGCTACAGGTGGAGGCCCAGCAGCGAGATGACCCACAGCCAGGCCCTGGCAGGTGAGGCTGGGATGTGCTGGAGCAGTCCAAGGCAGCCCGCGTTGGGCCAGCGGCTGGTGGCCGAGCGGTGGGGAGCGGCGGCGCAACGAGTCGCCCGGCGGCGGCAGGCGATCGGCACCGACCCGCTGTGCGGCAGGCTGCAGCGCCCAATTTGACCAGCACTGCCCTGAGGCATGTGCTGACCAATGTCTGCCTGCCGTCCCTCCTCGTCGCCCTGCAGAGGTTCCTCCCTCCGAGTGTGCTGCATCAACCGAAGGGCTCAGAAGGGCCGTGCAGGTGCATAATGCGGGAGGGCCAGGCTTACCCTCCAACTGTTGACCTGTGCGACTTGCTGGCAATCCACTCATGTTGGCACCACTGCAGGACGCGAGCTATGCCAGACAAAGGCTGGAGTGGGAGCGGCGCTACAATGAAGCACTAAACGTAGGGCTCCCTGGGAAGGATCGTGGCGGCTTCCATTTCAAATTTGCAGGGTTGCAACTGTGACAGCAGGGTGAGCAGCCTCGGAGTTGAGTCGACGCGTGATCACACACCAACCTCGCCCCATGTTGTTGCAGGCGCGGATTGCAGTTATCGAGGAGGAGAATATGCAGCTGCGTCAGCAGCTGATGGACCTGCGCGATGATGTGAAAATTTTCATGGACAGCTTGAAGAAGCGCCAGCACACCGAGCAGAAGAAGCTCACGGCGCAGACGCTGTCCGCCTGGCTGGCAGGATGCCTGGCCGGATGGCAGCCTGCCAATCACAAGCCCTCTGCGCGTGGTGCTCGCGGCCGGCAGGTGAGCCTTCGGGCCTGCACCCAGCCGGCTTCCTCAAACCAGGCCCAAGGGCGTATTCTTTCTTTCTTTCTGAGCCTGCACTCCTGCCTGCGAGCAGCCGTGATGCGCTCCCTGAATGTACAGAAAGGAAGTACCCTTTCCCGGCCTCCACTCTGCAGGCCGCGCGGCGCCGGCGCCGCTGAGGCTGCCTCTCTCCAGCCCGGCGGCAAGCGAGGCACTGGGCAGCCTGCCGGTGTCCACACCGCCACGCCCGCCACCACGAGCCGCATGGCTGCCGCTGGTTGTGTGGCGCCGCCGCCGGTCCGCCAATGGGTGCTGCGCAACAACTGTCGCAATATATCTGCGTGATGAACTGAGAAACGTTTCGTTAACTCTGTGTGCACTGGAAAACAGCTGTAATGCTGTGGGGTAGCACCATGTCTAGGCGCGCAGGCCAGGAGGCCCGTGTGGTGCGTGCTGCTGCCTGCCGTGTGGCATCCTGGTGCAGGCTTTGTGTGCAGGCGGCATGCGAGGGGAGCGTGGCAGCGGGGCGTGCTTGCTGATGTCGACGGGGGACCAGCAGATGCCATGCAGAGCGGGCCGGGGCCGCAGCGACGTGCCGACAGCTGCCAGCACTCAGTGAGTGTGATGCTGCCTTGATCGCGTCTCCGCCGCCGCGGCCTGGCCCCTCCTCCTATGCGCCCATGCTAGCCCCAGTCGGTCCCTACCTGTACCGGGAGGTACCAGATCCTCTCATGCAGGTGGTGAATCATGGTGGCAATTGTGTAACACATCTGTTGCACAGACAGGCAGACAGACTGGAAGTGGCGCGCAGCACGAGGGAAGCGGGGCGGGAGATGATAGCAGTCTGCTAGCACGCATGCTGAGCGTGAAATGCTGCGCGGCAATAAAGCTGACACTGCCAGATGATACCGCCTGGCGCACAGGTGGGTGGCATGCCGCGGTCTGGCCCCGCGCCACGAGCGGCGGCGGCGCCATGGCAGCTGACCGGGGCAGACAGGCACCAGTGCAGCGCCGCCCTACATTCCCGGCACCAGCTTGTTCCGCTCCGCTTCGTAAGCCTCATCCTGCGAGGGGCAGGGCAGAACAGACACGAGTGGGCAGTCAGCCCAAAGTAGTGTAAAAGTCGCCCCGCCAGGCATGCCGCGTGGGCCCTAGCACGCAGCGTGCGGCCTTGGGGCAGGGAGCAGGCAGGGCGGGCAGCTTCCCACCTGCTTCTTGCGGTACTCCATGTACTCCTGGTGCGGCTTGGGGTGGTGCGCCCAGCACTCGCGCTGGAAGAAGTCCTGCTTTGCAGGTTGAAGGAGGGCGCGGGGCAGGCGGGCAGGCGGCGGTGGAGGCAGAGCAGCCGGCGAGGGGCAGGGTGAGCAGCCGGCGCAGGTCACTTGCAGATCCTCTAAACAAAGCTGCCTGCAGGCGCTGACGATCTAAACGCAAGACCCGCTCACCTTGACCTTGGGCACGTGGTCCTGCACCAGTACCTTGCCCTGGTCCATCGTGCCGCCGTTCTGCAGGCAGGGGAAGGAAGGCCGGGGCCAGAAGCGGGTGGTGGTGGCCGGTGAGGCGGGACAGCGGGCAGGGGGCAGGCACCACACGTGCAAATGAACATACAAACATGTGCCCATACTGCTTATGGTACCGCACTTACGCGCAGGCCGGCGCTACCGGCAGGTGCTGCCACCCCACACACTCGAGGTTACCCCCCGCCCGCCTCCTGGATGAGGCAGGCCACCCCGCCGCTGCCGCTTCCGCTACACAGCACACACCGACCCGCGTCCCCCTCACACACACGCCTTTTGCAGGAAGTTCATCACTTCGGTGTGCCCCATGTTGCGCGCCCAGTGCCATGGCCTGCGGCAGCGAGGGGGAGGCGCGGAGTGGCAACAGGTCTGGGGTTTGGGCAGGACGGTGGGCGACGCCACAGCAGATGGAGCAATGCAGCTGTGGGGGTGCAGATCTGGCTGGCAAGGCCGCATGCCTGACATGTGTTTGGGGTGGTGGGCGGCGGCGGCGGCGGCAGCGGCCGGCTCAGCTGCCTGTTGGATTGGATCACAAAGAAAGTAATCCGCCCAGGCTGCGCGCACCTGTCGCCTGCGTTGTTACTGGCGTTCACCTTGGCTCCCAAGCTCAGCAGCAGCTCGCAGCTGCGGGGTGGCAAGGGGGCCAGCAAGGTGATACTGAGGGTCAGTGGCGGCGCCTGGTGGGGCGGGGGTCGCTACGAATTGGCAGCAGTAGAGCACCACGGCAGCAAAGCAACTCGGCCTGAGACCAGCAGGGAGCGGCAGCGGCTGACAGAGAAGCAGGGCATACGACGGCAGTGGCAGCATGGTGCCCTGAACAGCGCTGCCACAGCAACGCACACGGCTGCGCCGCCGCCGCATGCTGCCGCCGCTGCCGGCTCACCCCTCCACCCAGCCTTCGTAGCAGCAGAAGTGAAGGGGCGTGTTGCCGGCGGCCTCCACCTCGTTCACGTCGTGCCCCTCCTCCACCGCCTTCAGAATGGCTGCAAAGGGAGCAGGAGGAGGGCCCGCCGACGAGCGACCGTGACCGGTGGCATGCTGGCGGCTGCGCCTGGCCTGGCGGTGCCGCTCCCGACCCTGCTGCTGCTGTTCGCGGCCATGCATATGCAGCAAATACACATATAATGCAACACATCCACAGCATCATGGTTGATAAGGAGAGGAAGGCAGAGCCGAGGCAAGAGCAGGCGGCACGCCGCCTACCTTCCCGGTCGCGGCTGGCGGCGGCGCGGTGGATGACCATGGGCCCCACCCGCCCCCGGCCGCGGGTGCAGCCGCCGCCGTCCTCCTTGATGCCCACCGGTCCGTTCCACTGCAGGAAGGGTCCCTGCACGTTTTTGTGCCACGGGTTCTTCTCCATCGCGCGCGGTCAACTGGCGGGGAGCCGCAGGGCGGCTAGGTGGGCCGGGTATGACTTGGTGACAGATGCAGGCGGCGATCAGGCCGGCCACAGGGAGATGGGAGCTTCCTGGGCGGAAGACCTTTCGCCTTCCTGCCACGTGGCCGAGCGATGGACAGAGACAGTGTTTCTGAAAGCTGGCGAAATCGCCAAATGCTGGCGAAATCGGGCCAAAAACGGCTCTGGCTGGCGATTGGCCGAAGGCCATCGCCAGCCAGAGCTGGCTAAATGAGGGCAGGCGGCGGGGCGACATCGCCAGCGCGTCGCCAGCCCCCATGACTGACATCGCCAATATTTTGAGGAGAAATGGCCAATTTTCCTCAGGAACTTCATTCCATAGTGTTAAACAAGCGCCAGCTTGCTGGGGTT